TGCATTACCAACTGGGTCAGTGTGACCTGCTTATTCAGCACATTAATATTATATTGGTTTAGCAATTACAGTAAATAATAACTATACAGGGTGTGCCCTATATGGGCACCACACCTCCCCTTTTTATAAGAAAAATTTTTGTTTCTTGATCAGAAATTTTTCTATCTGTTTGACATAAGCACAGCATTTGAAATTACAATTTTTGGATATTAAACAGACAACAGTATTTTACATTATAACTATATTCTTATAACTAAACAATATACTTAACTAAGATAAGGAAAATAGAAGCAAGTGTTTGTTAGTAAAGATATTAAGAGGATAGTAGGATCATAAAGTGAAAGATATTGAAATATGTATAATATGATAAGTGGAGCTCCGCTTACGTTAAAGAACTAACTATTTTTAGGTACCTAATACAACTAATTTTAATATACAGTAATATAATATAGATATTATCCATCGTTCTTTGCAAATAAATATATATGTGAAGACATTTTTCAAAAAATTTTAATATCTATCAGCAATAATTTGACGTTTTTTTCACAAATCCATTTTACTTTACGGGTCATGAAATCTTCTGATAATTCCATGCGTTTTTATTTTCAGTATAAAGAAAAATATTTATGAGTATACAGAAATAGGTACTCTGGTTTTTTGTATTTAGATATTTAGTTTTAAGTATTTCTTGTTTTATATAAACTTGCATGTCATGCAGACAATTTTTGGAGAACAAACTAGGTATATGCAATGCATTAAACTCAACGGTGTTTTGATATTTCAAAGAAAAAAATAATTACTTTGTTGCTATTTATATATTTATAAATTTGTAGTATCATGTGTATCACTTTAAAATTTATACTTAAAGATATTTCGATTACCTCCTTGAGTGATATTGAAACTATTCCGTTCTTTGTTTATTATTTATTTCTCCGATCGCTTTGTATTAATCCTCGTGCTTACTGCTTCATTTGTGAACGCCGGCCATTAGTCTAGACCGTAATTTCTCTAGTGAAATACTGCCATTAGCGAACATTTTATTAAATTTGTATTTTTTTTTTTTTTTCATACTATTGCCCAAAATTTTTGATCGTCGGCCTTGTACTCACAAGTACCTGGATAGCCTAGACCTTTTCTCTAAGGAACTGTCATTAACGACCTTTTGGTGCAACTGTGCATATAGACTCTTCTTTTGATTGTAGGGTGAACCGGTTCTACTAGAGTCTTTTACATACGTATGCATTTAATATATTAACTTTATTTCTCTTCTTATTACTCAATATTTTCCCAGAGCTCTTGACGTCGTACCTAAGTCGAATCGCCGATAGAGTAAGTGAGTAGTGCACTTTATAAGTTTGTATTAACATTTGATCATATGAATATAACTTTATCATGAACTAATAGAAACAACTACTCCGAGGCTAATGCCCCTTCCGGCATTGCATTATACCATTGGTCCATGTTGTAGTCACTGAGGTATTAAACGGAGTTTGGAGTTTGCGATCATATATTATTTATGAAGTTTTGCTTTATATTGCATGCTTTTTACTTTATCAAAACGTTATCAAGTATTTCTAATTGGCTCGAATATCAATTTATTGCCTAGACACGCGCAGCTAAAGGTCTGCATGTAAAAGTAAAAGATAAAAAATTGTATTTAGAAGATTTTTTTTTTCTTGTAAGCCCATAGCCTTAAATGTTTCAAGCATTCCATATTGATACCCACAAAATTAATTTACTTCTTCTCCTCAGATCCAGAACCTGAGTGTTATTTTAAACTAACTTCCCTTGTCTGCAGTATTATTTTCGATACTTCATGAAAGTTATTTCAATATTACCTAATTAGAGACTTCAAATTGCTGATTTTTCTTAATGCGAAATGTTGGTTACTGGTTTATTAGTTTATTTTTCACCCTTACTTTTATAGTATTATTGTTTAGTGTAGTAATATCATCTACCCAATACATTTTATTTCAATTAGAGAACCACATTTACATTTTGTCATAGAAATCAAAAATCAAAATTTTACGAAACAATTTTTTAGTGTACCTCTTCGTGGTAAGAGGTATCCTGGAAATTCAAGTTTGTAGCTATCATAGTTTCTGCTGTACGTTGATTATGAATCAGTCAGTCAGGACAGCTTCTTTTATATAAGTATATAAATAATGGTTTCAATGATGATACGTTTATGTTATACTGATTTATTGGATATACCTCATTTGGTTGGCATATATTTTCATGACTGGAACCCAACAATTTTAAAAGAAATTAATTTTTCACTTATTTATTTTACTTAATTTTTTTTTTCTCAAAAAAATCGCTGAGGTAGCGTATTTGATTCGATAATAATTGATATTGTTGCCAATATTTATTTGGTTTGATTAATTAATAATTGCCTTGATTGCATAATATTTGAAAATAGAAGAACGATGGTAACCATTTATAATAATAGTAGTTAATAATATATGCTTATATTTAAATAATTTAAACAGCATTCTTATGCTGTTAAGCTCAAAATATATGAAAAATCTTATTGACTAACACTTCCTAAAATAAGAATGTATAGGTAAATACCTGTTTTATTCTAAAATTACTTCACCATGTCTATAATATTGGGTTTGCGTTCGCTTTTCACCTAATTTTAATTTACTATTGTCCATTTTTTACACAACCTCTTGGTAAAACGTCCATATTTGTATACGTAATTTCCATATATCTCTGGTAATTTCATTAGGCACCCCTAAAAAAAATGCTAAAAGAGAATTTTCTTCTTCCTCAATCTTCCTTCGTCTTTTTTTGGACATCTTGCTATTTATTGTAGTTAGGTATATGGCCTTCGTGTACCAGTCCCTTTTAACTCATACTGTGATAGGTACTTCATGGGAGAGACTCGCAGGGTCTTAGGGCAGGGTCGCCATGTAATGGGTTTCTACTATAATTTGGATATTGGGTATCCCGCAGGATCGTTCATCCGAGGACTTAATAAAAGACGTGTTGTTGCTTAGAAGTTCTGTATTAGATTTGTTGTCAAAATATGTGTTGCATTACCAACTGGGTCAGTGTGACCTGCTTATTCAGCACATTAATATTATATTGGTTTAGCCATTACAGTAAAAAATAACTATACAGGGTGTGCCCTATATGGGCACCACACATTGTCTACTTTACGTGTAGATAATGTAGACAATGTAGACAATGTGTCAACAATGTAGAATAATATAAATGACGTTTAATTCTAACCTCACACTTTCCTTTTTTTTAATTATTTTTATTTTATTAGTGGTTTTTCTGATATTTTATAATCAGTGAATGCTAATATCGAAGTAATAGTGATAGTATAGTAACTTTTGATATTCTTTTTTGAATTTTTTAAAATAAGTTATTGTTTACGTCGCATGTAGACAATGTGTAGACAAATGCTCACGTAAACAATTCGAATTGTCTACGCGTAGACAATCAATTGTTTACGTTGACATTGTCTACAGGCACATCACTGTTCGGGAATCGGGAATAACAAGCACACCCAAGAATCGTAAACTCTACAGGATTGCTCAATCCCATAAGAGTAAGACAAACGTTCATAAAAACATCGAAGATGGCGGTATGCGAATGACGTCACGCAGTCCTTGATCGGTTTGTGTTTTTTATGACAGTGCACTATCCTTGCATTTTCAAACGTGAAAAATTGTTATTTTGAGGTTATTTCCTTTGAAAACTGTATTTTGTAATTAATTTATTGATTTTAAAATTAGCAGACTTCAAAAGCTTGTGTTGATCCTTGAGGTTGAGTGGTTGGCTAATTAGAAAGACGAGTTTGTTTGCTTTTGTTTATCAATTAGCCAAACATATTGCCAAAAAGTCAAAAAAACGAAGGGCTGGAGTCAAGCTGGCCCCCGGATTCGTTTTAATGTTTTTTTTGTGTATGAAAATGAGCACAATTCGCATAAATACTGGCACAATTGAGCACAAAACGGGCACAATTGACTACAGTTGAGAAACAGTGGAAAACCAAATGTGGGGTGCCGAGCCGGTTTAATTTTTGCATTTCAATATCAAAATATAAGCGAAACGGGGTTGCAATAGTGTGCTTTATTTTTTACTGACCCTACCTAGGTACTTCTCAATTATTATTCATTAATTTAATAGGTACTAGAACGATTTAATATGGACATTCAAAGTGAGCTTATTTCACAAAGCCAAATAGTGATACCTAATTTAGATTCTCATAATCATATTCCAGAAAAACATTGCAAGTTTCCCATATTTTCCATGCGTTTTCATAGTAAACGCGCCAGTAAAGGAATTTATTTACATATTTATTTATTCACTCTTCACAAACCCTAATTTTTATTAGTAATTACATGCAAAGGAAACTTACAACTAAGTAGATATTTGATTTATAAAAAAAAGCAAAACAAATGCTTGACTAGGAAATACTAACTAGCAATACACACAAATAAAAGAGCGATGTCCTGATACAACAAATCCAGTATTATAAAACCAGAAAATGCTTGGGGTTTTCGCGAGTATTTTCAGCCACGAGTCTTTTATGCTTACACACATTAAATGAAACTTTAAATTTACACTTATAACACTAGATAAATCCGAATTTACGATAAAATAGTTGTCAGCACAAACTAAACATCATTCGTATCAGCAGCCATCTTGAAAATCCGGCATGCGCGTGACGTCATAGCAATTGTGAACAAATTTAGCCGATTGAGCAATCCTGTAGAGTTTACGATTCTTGAAGCACACCTAATAATTTTCGTATCAATAATGCAGTTTTCGAACGCTTTCTAGTTGATTGGCACTTGACAGACATTCTTGACAATATTGACATACATATGACAGGTGTTAGTAGTGTGTTTTTTTGTTTTCATTTTTGTAATAAAATTATAACGGATGTTTGGAAAAATCTCCATAAAAATCACACAAAGCTTCGTGTCGAAGGCGAAGAAGTTCCGGTGGTAATCAAGTAACTACAGTTCGTGTTCGAGATGCACCCGAATCGTCGCCGCAAAAAACGTCCCAACTATGGTTTAAAAACGGTGGAAATACAAAGAGGCCCCTCCGGCTTTGGCTTTACCATTTCAGGACAACAGCCCTGCATTCTGTCCTGTATCGTTTCAAAATCGCCAGCGGAACAGGCAGGGTTGAGGGCCGGAGACTTTTTAATATCAGTCAATGGAATATCAGTATCAAAAATGGCTCATGACGCTGTGGTGGGTTTGATTGGAAATTGCGTGGGTCCCATACAAATGACCATCGCAGAAAATTATTATTCGGATAGCAGCGATGAGGAGGTCAATTGTAGAATTGGCAGAAAACCTAAATTAAGACAGCCTAGACGTTTAAAGGGTGTTAAATCCAGTTCAATTGGGGCCAATTCTGGTAGTCTAAAAGAAAATAATGGGGCTCCAATTGAATACAAAGCTCTTATTGGTTATTTGGGTACAATAGAAATGCCCAAACCACTTTTACCCAATTCCAGACATCAGACTTTATGTAATTGGATCAGGAAACTGAGACAAGAAAAACGTGTACCCACGCTAGTGTTGATGACAATTTTACCCACTTGTTTAACTTTAAAAAACTCTTCAAATCATATTATAGCAATTTATCCTACTAATCGTATAGTGTATGTATCTACAAGTGACAAGGACACTAAATACTTTGGTCTTGTTACCAGTGCAAATAACAAGGATACAAATATCTCAAATAGTTGTCACATATTTGCAATAAATGCTCAATTAATTGAGCACAATGAGCATTTCAATGAAGCAAAAACCTTCAAAATATTGTGCACTCGAGACCCAATAGGAAATTTTTGTTTTGAGTTTCCTCAAAATGGTCTTTACATAGTGAATTTGATACAGACAATGTTTAATTTGCAGAAAATTGAGGCTAATTCACCTCAGCCAAGTGCTTCTAGTAACTCAGATTCAGGGATTGGTTATAGAGATGATTGTGGCTTGAATATAAGTGACAGGATTCTGGTGGTAGAATTTCCAACTACATACCGCCCCTTGCCAGTGGTTAACAATACTAATAATCGTCCTCAAGGCATTGACAGAGTCCTGAATTTAACAAAAAATCAGTTTCCAATAAAAGAAAATAACAAATTTAAGTATGGCAATGTGGATTCAGGGCAGGTTTACTCAGAGAGCCCTATTGATGTGCCACAGAGTGACTTGTCATGCATTGCAACCGAATTTCGGGTGCCATTTGTACCTAAACTGCCTCATAATAGTCAGGAGTTTAGTAAAAGTGACACTAAACTGAACTATTGTGGAAGTTTGCAGGAGTTGAGTGATAGTTGGGACAAGAATTGGATGGGAAAAAAGAATATTACTGCTCAGAGTGAGCCTGATGTAAGGATTCAGCAAAATTTGGTAAGTGGCAATGAGTGTATACTTTTTTGTAGGTATATTATGAAATTGTATTTTTAATGTAGTTTTAACAAGAGATTAATTACAAAATAAAATTTAAATGTTTACCTATAATAGCCCTGCTACCTCGCCTGCTACATATGAGTGTATTAATTTTCTAGTAGAAGTAGGTAAAAACTTTGGTGAAAACCTTGGTGAAAACTAACAATTTTTTTTTCTGATGGAACTTGGTGATGGATTTGAATAAGAATTTTTGCTACCATTTGAATTTTTGGAAATATTTTTTTTTAACTCTTAATAAGCAATGTGTACTTATATCGGGTCTTCAAAAAAACAAAACAATCAAAGATTGCTTTGATTACGAAAACGTATGTCGCATTATTGTTTCTTTATTGGTCAGGATTTTTGAAATGACATTTTGACATTAAAGTTCATTGGCAAAATTAAAGGAAAATATTGCTAAGACATACGTTTAAAAAACCATAGCAATCTTTGATTGGTTTTTTTTTTGAAGACCCGATATCTACCTGATAGAAAGGTTGCTTACAACAATTATGCTGACAGCTAAGCAATACACTTTTTGAAAAGATTGAGATGCTACATGAGGACCAGGATAAGGACCAGTCCTCAAAATTTTGCTACTGGATTAGATTAGATTTTACTTGTTTGCCAAATTGAAAAAGAATGCCTTTTGTATTCCAAGTTCCACTGGTTTTGCACATGAAGTAGTTTTGAGGCTACAGTGGGACATTCTCGTTTACCTTTGTAAAGTGTTGGAGTTTTGTGGAGGGACATCTCATGCATTATTTTGGTGGTCTTGATATTTAACACTTCAGTAGTAGAAAAAATGGCACTTAGTTTTGGTTGTTGTTGTTGTTGTTGTCTAAATTTTAGTTTGTTGTAATATGCTATGCTCAAGATTATATTACAAAAATACAAAATAATTAATGTAAACACAAAAGTAGGATTATTGGGAGAATTATTGTACAAGTTGTACAAAAATTTACATTTTTCAAGTTTGGAATTGGGATCACTGATACTATTATGAAATCTTCATCTCAATTCTCTCCTCTCAGGGACTACCTCTATGACTTAGACAGAGGGTAGATAAAAGTCATGACTTTTATTAAAAAAGTAAAAAATTCAGATTTTTTTGATTTTAATTAGTTTGAATTAATTGTGGTCAAATATTTTGGGAAGTGAAGAAATGAAACCAATTAACAATAAACAAGTCTATATCTATATACACCAAAATCAGGACCAAAATATAGCGAGTTACCGGCTTTTTCTCATGTCTTGCAGTCTTATGCAATTTAATAAATAACATACAGTGTGTAGTACCACTTAAGGACTGACCACCCTTCTGAAATTTTTATGTTTTATCAGATTCAATTTTTTGTTTTTTGTCTTATGTCTACTCGAATTTGGCACTTATCAGGCTTATAATTTTATTTCTGCGGCTGTACTGGTATACAGGGTGTCCACATTTATAGGCTCAAATTTCAATAATAACTATTAGGGATTTTTTTAGAAAAAATCTGATATTTCTTGTTTAGAATGGTCTAAAACTCAAATGTACTAATTTTTGTTTCAATACGATACAGGGTGATCATAACAAATTTTCAAAATTAAATGAATCAAACCGCAAAAATGTCATATTTTGAGAAAAGCTTAGTACAAGTTTTGGTTGAGGATGTTCTAAAACTATGTTGCATCAAGTTTTGTTGTTCTCAAAGCCTCAAAATATGACATTTTTGCGGTTTGATGGATCAAATTTTGAAAATTTCTTGTAATCACCCTGTATCGTACTAAAACAAAAATTAGTACATTCGGTTTTAAGACCAGTCTAAACAAGAATTTGTTATCAGATTTTTTTAAAAAAATCCCTAATAGTACTTATTGAAATTTGAGCCTATAAATGTATGTATGTATACACCCTGTACACCAATACAGCCGCAGAAATACAATTATGAGCCTAATAAGTGCCAAATTCGAGTAGGTATAAGATAAAGAATAAATAAATTGAATCAGTTAAAAAATGAAAATTTTAGAAGGGTGGTCAGTCCTTATGCGGGACACACTGTATATAATACAAAATACAAATGACAGACTTTGAGACTTAATATTTTGTAATAGGTTTTTCATTAAAAACTTGATACATTCCACTCATCCTCTGCTACCCGAAAACATGCATCAGTCCTCTTTGGAGTTCCTATTTGACTGCCCTAACGCTTACTAAAAGAGAAGTGCAAGAAAAAATACTTCAGAAATTTTAAACAAGCAAACTATGAAGACATTACCCATGATCTCCAGTCACAAAATTTGCCTTCTCTCCTTAATTTTGATAATTTGAACAGAAATGTCACCATATTCTATGATACCCTAAACGAGACCCTAAATAAAATCATATAGAATCAAGTCCTGCTAAAACGTTTAAATAATAATTCTCCTGTTTATTTTTCTAAAAATACAATTAAATTGATCCTTAAAAAAAAAAATTGCACAAAAAATGGAAAACAAATAAAAATATAAATGACTAAGTACAATACTTTTAAATCATTTCGTTCTGAAACAAAAAGGTCTATTAGCAATGATTATGAGTCATGTGTAGCTAACATAGAAAATGAAATACCTAACAATAGTAAAAAGTTTTGGAACTTTGTGTCAAATAAGCAATCGAGTGGCGGAACTCCTAAGGAAATGAAGTTTGGGGACAAGGTGGGAGAGGACGGTGCTGGGGTCTGTAAGTTGTTTTCTGATTTCTTTCAGAGTGTACCTATATGTTGCAAAGTCACCTACAAAGAAAATAACAAATAAAAAACATTCTATACCTAAAAACAAATCGCTTTCCAAAATTGTTTTAACTGAGACCGAAGTACAAAGAACTCAGAGGGTTTGGATGAAAAAAAGGGTGCAGGCCCTGATGATATTCTAACCATATTTGCAAAAAAAATGCTCAGCTTGACTCTGTTTGCCCTTGACACTGCTGTTTAACGAATCTGTTTCCTCTGGAGTTTTTCCAGATGCATGGAAAGTCTCAAGGAAAGTCTCTGCTATTAAAATAATATACAAGAATGGTCAAAAAAACAATGTCAAGAATTATAGACCTATCAGTAAATTATGTACCTTTTCGAAACTGTTAACTGGTTTATCCATATATCTTTAATTTTGTAATAAGTGGTATTATGCCTTAACAATATGGTTTTCTGCAGCCTAGAGAAGCCTAGAGTTAAATTTGATAGTACATATATGAATCATTCGATACCTTTTGTCGAGTAGATGTAATTAATACTGAATTTAGCAAGGTATTTGACAAAATTTTCCATAACATTATGATTGACAAGCTGGCGGAGATGGGAATCTGTGGTGACCTCCTGAGATGGTTCCAATCATACTCACCTAACTATTACACAAACCACACAAAATCATTCAAAAATCTTAATATATATATTATATACCGAGTTATATACCTAATTATCGGTTGAACGTTCTACGTCTTCCGATTCTCGATCTCCAACCATCTATGTCAATCCAGGCATCCTCCTTTGTCTATCTCTCATTTCTACGTCTATTCCACTTCTCCAGCTTCTTCTTGGTCTACAGCATCTTCTTCTTCCCCCTGGTTTCCGCTCAATAATTTGCTTTTGTATTCTTGTATCTGCCATTCTTTGTATATGTCCGAACCAAATCAGTTGTTTGTCCTTTACTTGGCCCTTTATATCATCTACTATTGTGTGTTTTACGTGGATATTCTCCCTAATTCTCAGATTTGTTATCCTTTCCATTTTTGACCTGGCTGCCGCTCTCCTCCAAAAGTCCATTTCAGTCGCTTCCAGCTGAGCTTCCAGCATATTTGCGGTTCTGTTCTTTAGTGGCCAGACCTCGGAACTAAACTGGTGGACAGTTGCTTTGCAACATGGGAAATTTTACCTGAATTCAAGTCTCAATATTTTTAGAACAGAAAGGGATATCGAGTTACAGTATTCGGGAGGTTCTTGACCAACTCTTTGGGAACACGTACAAGAGTCGACCGCTATGTGTATTTCCTTTATTTATCCACTTATACAGGGTGAGCAAAGGAAGTCATGTTTTTTTAGCAACGTTTGGGTCTATGCTAGGGGCTATGTCAGATTCTCAATTTTTGATAATGGAAATTTTTCTACGCACATTTTTGATCTTTGGACTATCCCAAAAAAAGTAATTCCTCAAATTTTTCGAAAGTTGGCTATAACTCAAATTATCGAATTTTTAAAAAAAGGGTTACATTTATCCCTAAAAATGGGCCTTTTTGGGGTTTTTCTTGTGAATGGGTATTTTTTCTCATACTGTTGCATAAAGTGGAATTTCTTGGGTCCGAGAAAAGATTGAAGCACTCAATGAACGGTATTGCCTCCAGTGGCGTGCAGAAAAAATTTTCTACTCTCACATTATGTAATTTAAACCGAATTTATAAATTTATGATGCTATGCAATTAAACAGCTTAATAAACAAATCCAGGCTACTACTCTTAATACAGGGGAGGGATGTAACACCAAGAGCATTTTTTGGTTTGGTAAGAAGAACTTCAAAATTGTTATTTTTCAAAATGTTATGATGCTGGCTAACACTGCTATTCATCTTTTATCTGGAATTTGGTATCTTTCTCATTCAGCATTGGCGTACCCGCTTGGATAAAAGGGTCCTTCGTTGAATAACTTCCTGCAATAAATGTCTTTTGGCTCGACCTCGTATTTTTTTTTTGTGATGGGTACCTATTCTTTCTTTTACCATACAATTGATGTGTCTTCTGAGAAATAATGGAGACCGCCTTATACACAATAGTCAGTGTTGTGGGAAATACCGTTATTGCTGCGCGATAGACTGGTAAATACCTTTTGAGGTACTCGTCCACTAGGCGAATCAGGCCGGTGCGGATCGCATCGCAAAAATCCCTCTACCATAGATTCCAATGCAATTGTAGAGTGGACGCAGATTTATTTGAATCTTATGGTAGACGGATTTTTGCGATGCGATCCGCCACGGACCGATCCGCTTA